GGGGCGGGGGGGGAGGGCAGCAGATGGTATGGTGGTTGAAGGCCATGGACTCCCACATAGCCAACTGCAGTTTGAGTCCCTGACCCGGAGACTTTAAAATCACACAGGGGATGTGTGCCCAAAATCCCGAGAGGAGAACAGAGGAGAAGGGATTGGGGTGTGGCCATCCCCCAAGGTGGGGGGAGGTGACTTGTCACTTTTCCTCTCACTGTTTCTCTTGACTGTCTCTCTCTGGTAAACACGTGTGCACTATGAGAAAAATCTTTAAAAAAAAAATCACTTGGACTATACCCCACCCCTAGATCTGATTCTCTTGGTCTGTGATAGAGCTCAGAAATTGATAGCATTTAAAAATTCTCAGGAAGATTATAACACGCAGCAGGTGTGGGGACTGCAGAGCAGCCTTAGGTTAGTCCTCTAGTCCTCCCCTCCCTGCTCTACAGAGAACTTGACAGGAGCCTGCCTGACAGAGAACTTTTTGGTTCTCTTTGGCCCTCCTGCCTGTTTCAGAAATGGTGGATTCCAGGCTCTTCCTTGTGGTATGGGGGGAGACTTCTGCCACAGGGTGAGCCAGTGGACACCCAGTGCTGCCCGTAATGGTAGAGAGTCTCCTTAGTTTAGGGGTGAAGAACTAGCAGGCCTACTTAGCAGCTTAAGTATGACCACACTTACTTCAATAGTCTTATTGGTGGTGAAGCTGTTACCCAACTTGAACACACCTGTCTCACTCTAGCGGTTGTTCACAAACTCAGGTGGGGACTGGGCACCTTATTTACTGAGCTGCCCAAAGCACTCCCACCTAAGCTCACTACACCTTATCTGCATCAGCTGTGGTCCCAGCGATTGGACGTGCTGGGTGCAGTGGGAGAAGAGAGCCCTGGAATAGATTTCTCATATACCTTGGTAGCGTCTGCCCTAAGTTTGGGGGCTTCTCTGCCAAGTCTCGAAAAGGAATTTTGAAAACCTTTTATCTACTAATGGATCTCCAGGAAAGTGAAATGACTCATCTAAAGCAAGCATTTCCAAGGTTTCTCATACCTAAGAATCACACACCTAGTAAGCTTGTCTGGATCTGCGGACTCCCAATGGAAACCTCAAAGTATCGGACTCCCTAGATCTGGGGTAAGCCTATATATATATATATTTTAAAAAGAATTATTTTATTTAACTTTATTTTTTATTATTATTATATTTTCAGACAGAGAGAAAGAGACAGAGGGAAAGTGAGAAAGCTTCCAGGTCCAGGACTCAAACCACAGTTGGCCATGTGGGAGTCCAGCACCCTTAACCACTACAACACCTGCTGGCCCCATGTAAGATTATATATATTTTTTCGAGAGGTTTTTGCTATAGGGCGCATGCACTCGCCAGACAGACAGAGAGAGAGGGAGAAAAAGTGAGAAATCACCACCCCCTCAGGGGGGATGGCCACACCACAATCCCTTCTCCTCCATTCTCCTCTCGGCATCTTGGGCACGCACGCACGCACATGAGCCCAGTGTGAGTTTAAGCCACCGGGTCCGGGACGCGAACCGTGGTCGACTACGTGAGAGTCCAGTGACATAGCCATTATACTAACTGCTGGTTCCCAAGATTATATTTTAAAACATCTCTTCAAGTTGTTTTGGTAAAGGTAGCAGGCGCTCTGTGAAAGGACGGCTAGCAGAGTTCGGGGTAGTGAACAGGACCTCTGTCCATAGTCAGGCCTCTGGACTCCTACTGTGGTGCTAAGAGAAAAAATGTTACTGACAGTGGTGGTTACTGTGAATGCTGAGGTGTGACTTTCCAGACCTTCAGACATTGGTGACATCCAGACCATGACTGCGCAGCCATTTCCTTCATGAGACAACAGAAGTTCTTACCAGCTTCTCCTGTAGGACCTTCAGGCACTCATTTATGTGGCCCAGGTGGTCTTTTCTGTATTTGATGAACTCGTTTTCTGTCCATTTTTGATTGTTCTCAATTTCTTCATACAGATTACTTGAAAGCGAATTAAATCTAAGGGAAAAAATGTTTTGTTCTGGTTTAATAAGTAAATGTAAACACAGAATAAAAAGTGAGGGTTGACAACGTCTGCAGTTTTCTGAGATGACAAAATTCAGTATGCCTAGCTGAGTACTCATGGGCTGGTGTGGGAGGTACAGAGGCAGGTAGGGGTCCCTGCCCTCAGCTGGGGTTCAGTCAGCCGTCAACTCCCTTCCACACACTTTAAAATACATACACACGGCCACAGGGGCACTGCTGGCGGGGATCTAGCCACAGACATGCAGAAATGGGCTTGGGGCTCACTCTTATCTCTGGATAAAATACTTTGATTAATCACTTGGGGTGGGAAATATTACTCTGGGGTAGGGGTTGGCAAGTTTTTTTCTGTAAAGGGCCAGAAAGTAAGTACAGTCCTACACAGTATAAAGAGGTTTCAGTCAATGGCAGAACATACATGACAGTGGTCCCAGGCATGTAGCAGGGGGCCCATTTATATTTGTGTCAGTACGCTCTGTGTTGGTCACACGCCAATAGCATCGCATAGTATCACATTTCTCAGAATGTATCTGTGGTTGATGCATGACTACGTTTTCTTTTTAGGTTTTTGCTATAGGATGTGTGTGCTCACTGGAGAGAGAAAGAGAGGCAGAGAGAGAGATGGAGGGAAAGTGAGAAATCACCCCCAAGGCAGGTGGCCACATTGTAATCCCTTCTCCTCCAGTCTCTTCCTGCTGGGATTTTGTGCAGGAACGCACATGCAACTGGTGTCATTTTCTTTTCTCTTTTTCTTTTTTTAAGAATTATTAATTTAATTTTATTTATTATTATTAGTTTTTAATTTGACCAGAGAGAGAATGAGAAAACAAACTGCCAGGTCTGGGACTCAAACTCCAGTTGGCCATGTAGGAGTCCAGCACCTTAACCACCACACCACCTTCTGATCCCTATTATTATTTTTAATTTGACCAGAGAGACAGAGGGAAAGTAAGAAAGCAAGCCACCAGGTCTGAGACTAGAACCACAGCCAGCCATGTGGAAGTCCAGCGCCTTAACCACACGCCATCTGCTGGCCCTGATGCATGGCTGAATTTTGGGCTCTGTGGGCCATGTGGTCCTATTGTAGCCACTCAACTTTGTATGAGCATGAACATGGCAATATGATCAAAAATCCATATATAACATTTACATGTCATGAAACATGATTTCTTTTAATTATTAGAAAATATAAAAACCATTTTTTGCTATAGGCAGATTCAGCTGAGAGAGGGCAGTGTGCTGACCTTAGCTTTGGTGAGCCCCACTGCGAGGCCAAGAGGGGCCCGGGCAGAGGATCTGCTGTCTAGCTGTCTAGCAGGAGAGAGGAAAGTCCCGGAGGAGGACGGGGCCTGTGAGGACTGTGGGAAAACAGTGACGTTAGTTGTCTGTCTCAGGTGAACTCTTAGCAAAGTCCTAAGTGCCATTAATGGATCTACTAATATGTGAGTGGATCTTTTTTTTTTTTTTGGAGGGAGGAGGGTGTTTAAAGAGGCAGTAAATTTCTCAGTGCGGGACTAAAACAAAAGTGAAAGAGGTGCAAGGAGGGACTGCCGGCGTCAGGATGACACTGTAGAGGATTAAATAATAATGAAGGAGTTTTAAAAATGAGGATAGATGTTATAGGCATTACATTTCCATTTAATTCCTTCCTATCAATTTGGAAGTCACTGTAGAGTGGCTGAGGGTTTGAGCAGGGAGAACCCACGTGAAATGACCAAGAGACACGAAACTAGAAGAGGTGGGAGCAGGGATGGGAACCGTGAGTGACTTCTGCACCTGGCTGCTGCATGCGACTTACTCACAGCTGATGGCAATTACATATTCTTTTTTAGAACAGGCAAAACAGGGGCCAGCAGATGGCGTGGTGGTTAAGGCATTGGACTCCCACGTGGCTGACCGAAGTTTGAATCCCAGACCTGGAGGATTGAAAATCATACGGGGCATGTGTGTTCATGCCCAAAATCCCAAGAGGAGAAGGGGGGGGGGCAGGTTGCAGCACAACCATCCCCTCTGGGGAGTGATTTCTCATTTTCCCCTTTCATTGTCTCTCTCTGTCTCTCTTTGGTGAGTGCTTGAGCCCTAAGGCAAAATCCTTAAAAAAAATCCAAAGAAACCAAACCAAAAAGAACAAACAGAACTATTAGATTGGCAAAATTAATGCATAATGTTGTTATTGATAATATCCAGGCTACCTAACAAGATGTGGTACTTCCAGTTAAAGTAATAACTGCTCTGAGGTTTTCAGGCAAAATGATATGCAGATAATCGAGTTGGTGATATTTATCATTGGAAATTGCTTCAGACATGCTGGGCGTGCATGACATACCCATGCCTCTCTGGCTCCCTTGAAAAAGTGTTTACTCATAATTAGATAAGTTCTGTGAAATTGTTTCCATTTTATTTAGACTAGTGTTCTCAACTGGGGACTCTTTTCCTCCCCTCCCTAGGGGACATTGGTAATGTCTAGGGAGATTTTAGATCATCAGAACTGGGAGGTGCTACTGCATGCAGTGAGTAGAGACCAGGGAAGTTGCTAAGCATTCTACAACACCTAGGACTCCCGACAACAAGGAATTTCCAGACAGAATACCAATAGTGCCCAGGAAGAGAAACTCGGAGTTAGAGGATGAAACCAAAGATTGAGAAAAATAAGTTGATTTCCAATAGTTATATTAGTTACAGTTTTTTTTAATTGTCTTTATCTATTTTTAAAAGAGAGAAAGTGAGAGGGAGAAAGCGAGAAATCACATGTGCGTGGCATGAGTTTAAGCCACTGGGTCTGGGACTCGAGCCACGGTCGACTACGTGGGAGTCCAGTGAAATAGCCATCACGCCAACTGCTGGTCCTATATTAGTTACAGTTTAGTAGCTAAATCTTCATCCTTTTCATTCATGCTCTTGCTCTCATTTCATTCAGTTACTTGTAAGTACCACTTTACCACAGAAACTGTTTTATCACCCTAAAAAAAATAGAATCCCTTTTTGCCTGACCCTCCCTGCTCCCTTACTCTATTTTTCTCCAAAATACTCATGACCATCCGATATGTACTAAACTTTGTGCTGTTTCCGCCAGCGGAACTTCAGCTCTGAGAGCCAGGATTTTGTTCATGGATATAAATAATGCCTGGAATATAGTTAAGTGCTCAGTAAATAGTTGTTGACAAATGAACAAATGGGCTATTCTTTCTCATTAAATATCTTTCATTAGGGTTGCTTACAAATAACAAATCTCAGACTTATCAAGCTACTTAGAAACCTAACCTACTTCAACTTTCTCTCTCTCTCTCCCCTTCTTTCTTCTTTCTTTTTTTTTTTTTTTTTAGAGAGGTATTTGCTATAGGGTGTGTGCATTTGCCAGAGACAGAAAACAAGAAATCACTCCCCCCCCACCCCAAGAGGGATGACCAAGCCATAATCCCTTCTCCTTTGGGGATTTTGGGCATTCACGCACACGCACCCGGCATGGGGTCTGGGACTTGAACCGTGGTCAAACACATGGGAGTCCAGTGCCTTAATCATTACATCACTTGTTGGCCCCAACTTTCATCTTTCTTTCTTTGTCTCTGAGGGAAGTATTAATTCATAGCGATGTTGGGGGAGACAACAAATCTGCAGAAAATCAAAAGATAGCTTTACCACTGAGAATTCAGACCTCGGTGCTCACCTTCACTGTGTACATAAATGGTAACATTTACTCTCATGACACTGACGATATAAACACCCCTCTGAAAGTCAAGGAGCTGTTAAATATGCCTAAGTCATGTCTCCGGAAGGGCATATCAGTAACTGAAATTCTAAAATTAAAGCCATGAAGAATGAATTACTACTTATATTTTTATTATAAGGTTTGTTTGCAATTGGAGACTCATTTTCTTGGTATCGATCAAATATGAGACTGTCTGCTGATAGCTTATTAAAACATGCATTTTGTAAGATCATTCCTCTTAAAAGATAAAATGAAAGAGAATAAAAATTGATTTTTTTTTTTACTTACACTTTTCCCAAACATAACAGATGTAATTGGCCATAATTCTACTCATTATAAAATTTAGTCAAAAATCTCATCAGGATGAATTTATCTTGGGTGACATTCACATTTAGTTCCCAAATTCTACTTTTAATAGTAGAATTAGGAATATTTCAGACGTAGATAAATAGATGATGATGATGATGATGATGACAGATAACTTTTTCTTTAATTTTCCTCAAAACAAAAGTCAGACTTCTAAATTATGATCAGAGGCCTCACTAGGATGATGTGGGCTATTGGTTGGGTTTTTGACTTTTAAAATTATTATACTGATAAAATGTGGTTAGAGAGACCAGCAGATGGCATAATAATTACATCTCTGGACTCCCACATAGTCAGCTGTGGTTGGAGTCCCGGACCTGGCAGCGTCGAACTCACATCAGGCACATGTGTGTGCATGCCCCAAATCCCAAGAGAATGGAGGAGAAGGGATTGCACCTGGCCATCCTTCTGTGCCCCGCAAGGAGTTGATTTCTTTCTCTCTCTCTCTCTCTCTCTCTGGTGAATGCACGTGCCCTATAGCAAAAATCTCTCAAAATAACAAAACGTGGTTAGAAAATACATCTAGGGCAACCATAAGGGAGAAAGTAACAGAAGGATAAAGGGAACCACAATGGGAACCTATAGACGTGCATGACATACCCATGCCTCTCTGGCTCCCTTGAAAAAGTGTTTACTCATAATTAGATAAGTTCTGTGAAATTGTTTCCATTTTATTTAGACTAGTGTTCTCAACTGGGGACTCTTTTCCTCCCCTCCCTAGGGGACATTGGTAATGTCTAGGGAGATTTTAGATCATCAGAACTGGGAGGTGCTACTGCATGCAGTGAGTAGAGACCAGGGAAGTTGCTAAGCATTCTACAACACCTAGGACTCCCGACAACAAGGAATTTCCAGACAGAATACCAATAGTGCCCAGGAAGAGAAACTCGGAGTTAGAGGATGA